AAAGCAAGATTCAAGCCTAAACTGAGTGAGGTAATTCTACTCAAATGTGAAAGTAGGGGTGGGAGGTGGACCGCCAGTGGAGAAAAAAGGAAAAAAAATCGTGAAATACACAGGAAATACGAGCCTTTTGCTCTACGCTGCGGAGAAGTTCAAAAGGCCGGCAGGGAGATGAGAGATAATGTGAGCGCGGAGAGCGGTAGAGAAGTCCGAGAAGAGAGAGCATAGCAGATCAACAGCGACGCAGACAAGATATCGAGCGGTGGGCGGAGCATGTTAAGTTTGGTGGAGAGTGTAAAGAAGTCCGGGGTCCGAGCCCGAACTTTGCCTTTAAGCCTTCATCCACAGCACCCATGTGACGCCTTATATGTATGTGAAGGAATAATAAGTGATATCAATTTTTGTGACGCTCTTCAACCACACCCGCTTGCTCCACTTTCTAGGCTACTTCCTGGAAAGAAATCTGACCCTAGTTACCTTGTTCTCAAAATCCCGTCTTTTTGAGCAGAAGTCAATGGGGCTCCACAGGAGTGGCATACATCCATCCACATTTAGGTGATATGTTGCTAGTAATGGTCGCGAATTCTTCATCGAGTAGGTATACCGGAGAAATGGAGAAATCAAAAAATTAAAACATAGACAAGGTGGTCCGAGAATTACGCATCGGCCTGGTATTATATGAATATTATTGAAACGCTTTATGACGTGCTCATCAGCAAGCGGACCATACTGATGATACGTTTCGCGTTGCCTAAGGTATAGGCAACTTTTCACTGGCTTGGCCAATTTCACAAGGCTATAATTTTCAGACCATTGCTGTTACACTGGCGGAGATCGTTCCTGTTTTGATGCTTTGTGTCAGCTTCTATGTGAGGAAGATCACGTTCGAAACCACCACCTCACAGTAATTCCTTTCCATATTTTCTTATAACACTTTGGACCGCAAGACCTATTCTCCAAGAATGGTCATTCAATAAGATTGAACGGCATTCAGTGTCAATCTGTTCGCGATTGGAGGAAAGAATGGCCGACAAGAGTTTGAGAGAATAGTCTAACGGTGATCTCAAAATTTTTTCAATATCTGCTGAACGATTCTCTTAAAGGAGTCACAGTGATTTCGTGGGCGGAGCAGGGTCAACCGTCACGTTGGACCAATTTCGAAAATTTTACGACCCCCCCCCTTCTAGAGGGCCTCGATACGACCCCCCCCCTCAGGGTCAACCCTTCACCACCCTCGCCTGCCATCGCCATCATGGGGGCATTCTATAGTATTTGATTCTGAGACCAGTCGACACAGCCCAACTCCGCCCACTTTTCCCCCCTCCGTCGAGCAGGGAGACGGGGTATATATCGAAAATGATACGGCAAAATTTTCTCAACCCAAAATCCCACCCTAACGCTACCTCGCGAAACTCCCTCTTTTCCACCTCTAGATACGACCCCCACCCTCACCCCCTCGTTGGTCTTTGTCCAACGGACGGTTGACCCTGGTGCGGAGTGGACTCAGCCCGCACAAATATGAGACGTCTACGTCAACTGTGAAAGTGAATCGGTGGGGCAATGCTTACTGGTTCCTTACAGGACCAAGGACTACAACTTTTAATGAGCGCGGCCTTTTTCATTTTTTTTACCATATTTGGAAGGCTAATCTTTTTGAGGGGCTTCTTCAAAATGG